TATCAGAAGAAAAAAAACAGCAATAAAAATTTATCTAGATTTTAAGTTGGGATTATTTTATTTAAAGTTTAGAGGACAATATTTTTAAGAGAAATTTCAAGAGTTTGACCCTTGGTACTTGTAATCTCAAAAAATAATTTACGAATAATTAAATATAAGAGATAATTCCAAGATGACTGATGAGGCGTATTTGGCAATACTCGAAATAGCTATATGGTCTGCCAAAAATTCAATTAATAAAAAATAATCAAAATGTTTGTTGTTGCAATTCACTACTGTTCGATAAAAAAACCCCTCTATTGAGAGTTTAATATTTTTATATTAAGAATTTACTTTCTGTCGCCGAAACGGACGTTTAAATTCAAATTAATAACTATAATGATAAAATTTTATTTATTTCTAACTCTTTTAATATATAAAAATAATATCTTTTCTAATATATAAAAGCAATATCTATTATATTTATTGGCATAGCAATTCTTAGCAAAGATTACTTAAGTTATAAATTGACTGATATGAAATTGCAAGGCAAGAGGCTGGTGTCCAAGTATACTTGTTCCTAAATACTGAGAAGATCGCAAAAATAATTTATGTAGCACATAACATCTACTTACCTGTCTTAAGTACTTTAACATGCACAGCTATTAAACCATTAAGATTTACTTAGCATGGAATTAGCGCAGCTCCATCCCCGACAGCAACAGCGGCAGTAGGAGCAGCGGCGGTTGCAATGTTGTGTCAATTAGGCTAATCACATAATGAAAACTTCTTTAGAGTATTTAGATAAGATTATGAAATCTTAAAATACGATTAAATAGTTAAGAGGCAACGATGCGGATTAAAAATGGCTTAAAAAATTAATTAAAAGATTTAAGCCAATAAACTGCTAACGAACTTTTTTCTCCAGCAACAAAAGTGCAAGCGGATTGTGCCCAACCAAGCGGCAGCAGGACGGACGGTGGTCGCTGCAATGGGCTGTCATAAAAATATACAAATATGACCATTATGACCATTATGAGAACCGGCAGCAAATAAAGTAGTGGAATGGGAAAAATAATAATTAAAAATAAAATAATTTTTAAATTTATTGAAAAACACTTCAGAACAGAGAGTACGAGCAACCATAAAACAAAAAAAAAAAATAAAAATAAAATATAAAAAAAAAATAAAAAAAAAAAAGATGGAACAGTGAACAGAGAATTTAAAGTAATAATAATACTTGACCTCAGTTGGTATGTAAATAAAGCTCTTGAATGCTATGCAAACACATTTGGATGCATCATTGGATGACGCCGCCAACAGGCGGATTCTTTGCATCTTACAGAATTGTTTTTTTCTTCTTCTATATATTCTATAGTCCACAGTTTTGTGTGACTTTTGTCTACTTTTTTCGAGATATTTTTTTTTATTGTATTTGGGCTTGAGTGCTCCCTAAATGCGTTTACTCGTACAAGGTTCCTACATACTCATCCGTGGCAGTTGCGTTCGGCAGTTTTTGAATTCTTTTGTCTTAGCTGGCATTCATCGGAATCACTGCGTTTACCGTTTCTGCTTGATGCTATTTTAGACTTCGATTTCAGTCAAATCAATACAGTTCGAACCACTCGATTCAATTTTGAGTCCATTCCGTAAGCGACATCATTCTTTAGAATTAATTTTTGTTTTTCTAAAATTGAATTTCAGTGCTTCTTTTCTTCCGACATACTTAACTCTGCTACTCCACTGGACTGTTTGCAGTTAGGGGCGCTGAAGCGAAAGAGTTCAGCTACACCTTTGGATTTTATTTCATTTTTTCATACATACATATAGTATGTTCATATCGGTTTTTGTTGTGATTTCATTTTATTTTCATTTTTGGAATTCATTCGTTTCCATGTAAATTAATCTGGGCTTAATTACTTTTTCGTTAAGTCGCATTTTGACGGCTGCAACCTGGTCAGCAACCTGGTTGCTTAGTCGTGCGTATGGCGCTAGAGCGTATGCGCCTAGAAACGTGTATGTAGTCCTTTGTTTTGGTCTTAGCTTCTGCCTTTCTCATTGCATATGAATATGCAATTGACTTGAATACACGTCTCAGTATTCACTCATACATAATATATACCAGAGCGATTTGTTTAAAATAATGAGTTTTTAAAAATAGATCCTTTTAGCATGTGAACTTCTAGACAGCGAACTGGTTTTAGGATCAATTTATATTCACACATTTTTCTCAATTGTTAGGAAAACAGACGTTGTTCTGCAAGGAACTTAAAATTACTTATTAGAGAATATCATAACCAGTTGAATGAAGCAATCAAAGTTGTTATATAGGTTAATATGTATGTATGTTTACGCATAAAATTATCTTTATAATTTAACGAGATACTCTAGAATCAAGAATAAACACATATTGTTATCCTAATGAATTATAGTTATTTTATATGAAAGATAAAATTTCATATAATTTTTAATTTCATATAATTTTACCTTATATCATTTCAACATTGCAGTAAAATTTTATATCTACTTAAAAAGCTAAAGAGTTTCCTTATCAGTTCAACTTATAATGTTTATAAGTAGTTTATGTTTTAAAATGCAATAAAATGTCCACTACTGAGAGTGCAACCAATACAATAAAAAAATTTACTCAAAAAAACAAAATACAGGGCACTCAATTTCAAAAACCTCACAAATAACTTAATATGTTACCGGGAGAAACAAAATCTAGTTAAACACTGGAGAGCCCAAACAAGAAGATTCTTTAATCCTGAACTCATCAAAGTTAACCCTGTCCTTAACCTTAGCAGAAACGATATCATACTCTAAACTAAACTGCTTACAGGACACTGTAGAGTCAATTACCACATGAAGAATATAGATATGATTCTGGTCGACTCTATTCATCCGAAGTGCTCGTGATAAAATACTTATATTTTACATACTTTCTTTTTATACTTAATACGGTTTCTTTAGCCCTAATGTATTTGTAATCAATATTCTTCCATACAAATTGATGTCTTCGGGGTAAGAAAAGAAAATTAATCAAGTAGTGTGTAAATATTTATATATACTTAAGCAACTGTTATATTAATCTTAACCTTAATTTAAGCCAAAGGAGTTCAAATCAAATTTTAGTTAAGAATAACTAAAAATCTCGTTATGAGAAATGAAATTAGTCTTTTTAAAATAAAAAAAAATTGTGAAGAAAATGTAGTGAAGAAAATCGGCCAACAGGTTGCGGCACAAGTACACGCACGCTGATCCTCCCACTTTTCTGTTAAGATTCCCGAGAATGGTGAGAAATTTTGAAGACTGCAAAGTTTAATTTCACTGTATGCAATGGACGGACTGTGCTAGTTAAATGTGCTTATGTTGTTGTTGTTAATCCAAGGTATTCATAATCTAAAATTTGTTTGGTAAGACCGACATGTGATGCCATACACTTATTCTATAGATTTTCGTTTCAATATTTTTTAATTTTTAATAAAATTGTTTTTTTTAAGTATATCGCAATATCAGCGATCTATTTATAAAAAATCCCAATGGATTACTTTTCTTAACCGCAATAAAGTTGCAATCAATCAAAATAATAAACCTCGCTTCTTTTACAGGGTTTCTCCAATATGCATGTTTAACGGCCTGAATTTCGTTATTTTGTATATTCATGATTCGAAAGGCCATTGCCATTACCTCTTCCCACTGATTTTCTGGTCTTCGGTGCCTTGTTGCCATATTTTTTATTTTCGGGATCCCTTTAAGGGTACTGTCATCCGACTTTCTCATCAGCAAAACTGTATACAAATTATATAAACTCAAACATAGTCATGGTTTCTAGTGTTTCTCCAATATGCGTGGTAAATAGTCTTAATTTCATTATTTCAGATATTTTTAATTCTCAAGTCTACTTTTATTGCATCGTTCCATTAATTTGGTGGTCTTCGGTGTCTTGCTACCACATTTTTGCTATTAAACATCCTTTAAAGATTGCTGTGATTTGACTTTCCGATAACACGACCAATTCATTGGTTATGTTTTGACAAAATAGATTATAGTCCTGTTATGCCTCTATATACTGCATTTTGATACTGCAAGGGAAGTACTGTCATTCGACTGTTTGATAACATCGCCATCGAATTCATAGGTTATGTTTTGACAATATGGATTATAGTCTTGTCGTTTCTTTAAGTTCCTCCTTTTGACCTTGCAAAGAGTACTGACATCTGATTTATTGATAAAATAATCAAGGCAATTCATACGTTATATTTTAAAAGAATGGATTGTAATCTTTTTGTTTTTCAAAGGACAACATTTTTGACCCTGTAAGAATTACTGTCATCTAACTTTTTGATAACCTGATTAAACCAATTCATACGTAACATTTTAACAAAATGGACTATTGTCTTGTTGTACCACTAGGTACTTCAGCCCGACACTGTAAAGAGAACTGATATGTACTCTTCAAAAATCAACCGACTATTCGATTACATGGCCAAGTTAATTCATACGTAATATTTTGACAAAAATGATTATAGTGTCGTTGTTCCTCTAGATACTCCGCCTTGACGTTGCCACGATTATTGCTGTTATCATTTTTGAGATATAAGGGTTCTCTAATCAATTTCAAAAAGAAATTAATTTTATAATAAATTTCTTAAGAAACTTTATGGTAGTCAGAAATCTTCTTTTGAATTTGGTTGAATATATACTTATTCGAACATATTATATTTTTTTTCAATATAATTATTATATAGTCTTTTTAGTACTATATTAAAAAGATTATTACATGTCGTTAACGTCAATATATTAAACTAAAAAGTATGCAGAGTAAAACAAGAACAATAACATTACTTAATCTAATCTAATATAGGCTCGCATAGATATTTGCGGATTACTTGTACTAGGCGGCTTTTTGCGAGTTATGATTGGGATTTTAAATGCTTTTAAATTATTAAATTAGTGAATAAGCCGCAACTAGATCTTTAACAACAACAATACTACAACCACAAAAACAATATCTACAGTAACAACCATTGCTTTATAAACAACTTACAACTGCTGTTACTTGTGCCAGTAATATCAGTAACAATATCAGTAGAAAATGCTTTGCTTTATGATGCAACACGGCATCTAGTAATACCAAATGATCAGCAACAACAATATAAACAACAGCTAACTCGACCAACAACATGATCACTAACAGCAGCAGCAACAACAATCACAATTACGCGCCCAGTGAAACCAGTTAAAAGTCCATTAAATTGGAAACGTTTCAGTTGTGTTAACGAAGAAGAAGAAGCCACAGCATCGCAGCATCAGAAACTCCAAACTCGATCAAAGCTCGTGATCAGCACTGATCGTGCGCTACACTTGCTGCAGTGTTGCACTGGCTGCACTTGCTGCAATGTTTTCTATTAGTTGTTGTTGTTGATATTGATGTTGTTGTTGTTGTTGCTGTTGTTACTTTTGTATTTGATTGTAATTACACGCGATCATAACAACAATTGCTGTCGTTGCTGTGGATGCTGCTGATGCTGTTGATGGTGTTGTAGTTGGTGTTGTTCGATGATGTTGCTGATCTTGCTGTGGTGTTGCTATTACAACTAGATGTGCACACCACCGCTTTGCGCTCTGTCTGTAATCGAATCTATCAATCTGCGAGATAAATCTTATTTTTTCTAATCTTGTTATCGATCGTTGGAATCCAATTGAAGCAAAAAGGCGTGTGCGCCTGCGCTTGAACTTGGGCGCGCGTGTACATATTTATACGCTATTTTATTCTTTTTTTTTGTGTTTTTTTTATGTATCTTTCTTTATAATTTTATTAGAAATTTCGTTTTATATGTAGTTTCTTAAGTATGCTAAGTTGTAAGCTGCACGTACGATCGCGTGGGTCTTTTGCAATGTGCCTATTTCATTCAATCGGTTAATCGATTGTACGATCGATTCGATCATTTCATAGCATCAGTCGCTATGTTCTTCTTGTTTATAGTGAAGGCGGGTTTTTCAGTTATTTACATGCAGTTATTATGTAAGTATGTGCTCTCTTACCGCGATCTACAAAGTAACAGACACACACAGACATATATATATATACACATACACAGACATAGAGGAACACATTTACACTTTAGAGCGCAACTAAATTTTCAATCTTATCTACTTAATGGTAAATTGGCATTTCCTCCGTTCTGGCCTTTTCATTTTGGTATCGATTAAGTGAGTGGAAAGAATTTCATTTAGATTTTTGAATTATTGAAATTATAGACTTTGTTGCTGTTTTGGAGTTAAAATTGTTGTTCAGCTTTTAAATTAAAGCGGAAAAATATCGTAAATAAGCACAGTAATTAGAATTCGGAAAATTAAATTTTAGAGAAAGATTCTGGAATTTTAGATAGTTTTAGACCAAAAGAGAATATTTGGTGGAGAAAGTTTATATTTAAAAATATTTGAAAGAAATACGAAAACGCAATTTATTTAAATTAGATTACTAGAGTAAGTCAGTCACTTAAATTATACCTTATCTTACTAACTGGCCATTAGAAGACCAGTCGTTTGAAGACCAGTTAGTTGTCTCTTTTCAGATGACATAAAGTTACTACTGCTGGAAGAAATCTAATCGAATCAAAAAATTACCTCAGATTCTATCTGAAAAGTATCCAGAAATTATAATATACATAATTCGCTTAAAGGATAACTTCTTAATTACTTGTTGCAGTAGTAGTGAGTAGTGACATACAAATTATTCACTGTACTCAGATTCTATATAAAAACTATATATAATTCGCTTAAAGGATATTAATTTTTTTTTGCAGTAGTAGTGAGTAGTGACATACAGATTATCCACTGTGCTTTAATCAACTGTTGTTCTACGATGAAGTAAAGCTAATAGCTATGCAATACTCTTTTTCAAAATAAATTTAACAAATTCAATCGACCAAGTGCTGGACTCATCCGATATGGATCCACATTAATTTCCCGATATATCAAATATATTTTGCTGAATAAAATATAAAAAATAGCTTTTATATAATTAGCTTATAAGTAATTTATGCTGAGTTGAGTCACTCGTTTGTATAGATCCAGGTTACCTTGTGTGCTTACATCAACTGTTTTTGCAATTATACTTGTAAGTGTTCTGCGAACACTTAAAGCCTACGGAATTAAGAACACAATTAATGTAATCAACAGAGTATCGGACTCATTCGACATGGACTCACACGAGTCTTCCGATATAGTCACACAACTGTCGGGTAGATCAAGCTCGAAAATTAACACCTCGAGATTGATATTTTAATTTATTTGCTGTTACAATACGAACTCTATAACATAAAAAGAGTGAAAATTAACTAAACCAATCCAATATTTCTATAAGAGGATCTTTTACTATTATATAATATTATATTTTCTAATAATTTGAAGAAGCTTTTTGAGTAATTTGTGCCACTGTGCGTACATAAAAAAGGAAACTTTCTACCATAGTTTGATTGCTGCTGGTAGATTTTATTAAATGGCAACCATAATCGTTCAAAAGGATATATCAATAAAGCAATCACATGATTGTGACAACTTGAAAGGATAAAATAGATAAAGGTCACATTATTTAGATTTTATTGTATCAAGAAAATTGAAAATTGTATTCCTTTTATAAGCTCTTTTGCTTAACTGATTGAAAGGACATGCCAACCCGCAGATGAGGCACACAAAATGGATACATTTTAAGAATCCTGATGATTTCTGTTTTTCATGATTTTCTTCACATATTCACATGCAAATTGAATTTTGTAAGAGTTTCTTAAATTTATTACATTTACGACTTAATAAAATTAAATAAAATTTACTTAAAAAACAGAAAAGGATGGTTTATCTGTCTTCGGTCAAGAAGTATTTAAAAACATACAGACCCAAAGTAAAGGCAGCTGCTCCTAGCAATGAATAATGAAGTTTTCAGAACTTCATAAGGAAAATATAAAGTTTTTATCTTTCAGTTCGACCAAAAAAGTTGATGACGTTGATGTAGGTTTCATTTTATCAAATTCATGCAAAACAGCTGCTTCAAAAATGCTGACTTTACGTGCTATTTGATCCTCCACCATATTGACCGCTTTGTTTAGTTATTTCAAGTTTTTTGTGTCTTTTCCGTTTCCTTCGCAGTTCGATATAAACATGAACTTCCGCTGCATATTTAAGTTTTCCACATAAAAATAAACTTTTATCATTCAACGTGCCTTCGCTCCATACAATTTGGCTTAATAGCCTGAAAAATACTCGAAGCGGCACCATTTCGAGCGGCACACAGACGCCATTTTCAAATGCTCGCCTTGTGAAATTACGAAAGAATGCGGTGAAATGGTGTACTTGCAAGGAACCTTTCTTTCCATTGCCTTGCTTTGCTTTCTATTTCTGTTGCTAACTGCCGAAAGTTTCATGTAATTTTGTTGAACTATTTTTAGTTTACGTTTGCTGCTCTCGACTTCGACTTTTTTGTCTTCAGTAATTCTGTTTGTGGTATTCCATGAGTCTCCAACCATGCGCATATTTTTGGCTCCTCTGGAGCTGTGTTGACTTTGGTTGACAATGTGGCGTCACTGGCATTACGCAATGTGCATTTATAAATAAAAATAAGAATTCAATCAATTTTTCATTTCACAATAAAAAATCCACATTGAAACACTCCAACACTACAAGACTCCAACGGTATCTCACTTTTCCACAACGACGTCGACGACTTGTCTGTTCTCTGCTCTGTTCCAGTTTTGGCTTTCTGACATCAGCAAACGAGGTGTTGCGGCATGGGTTCAACAGTTTTATTATTTTTTTTTGCCATAAATAAACTCATGGAAATAGTGTAATTCACATCCAAATGCGTTTGTTTTGTCCTTTCCTGTTAATGAAAATAGGCATCTTATCATAAGAAGGGAATCGCCATGATGTCTGTGATAATATTAATGCAATTTTGGAGTGAAAGGTTAAGTGACGCAAAACATACAAAAACTGTAAGGACAATCTTGAAAAATATTGTTTATGCTATTTTAGAGTGATTATGAAATAAAATTTAACATGAATTATTGGATCTAATAGTTAACAATAAGGGAAAATATCAGTTTATGAATGCTTTTATCCATTTATAAAAAAAAATCTGGGAAATAGTCTTTCCTTCCTTAAAAAAAAAAAAATTCTTCAAATCATTGAATAAAACTAAATAACTCATTTAATTAGATATCGCTAACAATCCGTCACCAGTTGTTAGTCTGATTCAGCACTCTTCTTCAAATCTCTCCACTTAGCTTTACTCATATACAATGTCCTATATTATCCACGGTTTATAAAGTATAACTATTGATTTAATTACTCTTGCAAAGACACAGTTTTACTAATGCCTTCTTCTTCCAGTTAGTACTTGAAATACTCGTCTCCAGATGTCTCCACTTTGCTTTACCCTTATCCAGAATCGTACATCAACTACAGCTTAATTTACTTAGTCTTGCGAAAAAAACAATTTCACCAGCACTTAAGGCACTTGGAATATTCCTTCCCAGACGTCTCTACTTCGCTTTACCCATATCCAATGTCGTACATTAATTGCGGTTTGAATTCTATCAATTTAATCACTCTTGCGAGGCTACAATTTTACCTAAATCTCTTCCCCCAGCAAACTATTCAAATAAAGTTTTACAGCAGAGCATCGTTTTCATTGAAATAAGTTTGTTTCGTGACGTTAGAATGGAGTAGTGGACTTTACTTTTAGAGACAACTTGTTATATTTGAATATCGGAGGATCTATGATAAGATATTTTAATAGCCCCTGATACTTCTTAATCAAACAATGTCTGTTCAGGTTATTCACTGTTATTAAACTCTAGTAAATTAGGAACGCTGAATATCCGACTATCATATAGGGATATTTAGTTCAGTGTAGTCCATAGAGGTGAACTACACTATAGCAACTAAGTCGCCTTAAGAATTAATAACTGAAACGTGAAGGTCAAAAGTGGATTAAAGATTAATCAATTTATACAAAATAGCTTCAAGCATGAAGGTGAAGGTTTTAAGATTACTCTAAAAATAGAAAATAAGTTTTAATAATGGCGTTAGATTATTCGTCAATAGGCGAATAATAATACTCTATGTTTAAAGTTTTATAGTTTTTTTAAGAGAATATTTGCATTCCTTCATTAATGTGGTTTTCTGCT